TCGATATATTGATTGGATGATACTAGAAACACATGCATGGATAAGATATAACAAAATCTGAAATATATATTTGGAAAAAAAAGAACATGACAAGAGATGCGCCGCACACAACAACATCACAACACAGAAGCGAAAGCAGCGATTTGCGATCGATTACCGACCGAGTAGATCGAATGAGATTATCGATTGGGGTTAGCAGGCGAGCTTTTTGGGGAGATGATGCTTTAACCCCGTTTCTCGTCAGCGGCTATTATTGACTGGATATCTTCCCAACAGTGTGGAAAACCGCCAAGTGATGGTGCATCATTCTGGAACCATCATATTGAGGTAAAAACCAAACAATTAGAAAAAGCCAGAAAGTTTTCTAGAGCTTAGAAAGGTGTGTGATTCATTTCTCTTTGCTTACAAAAATTCCAGCTTGACCACGAACTACTATCGAGAACACAGTGCTCAGATATGACATTTGAAACCAAAGGTACGGAATAAATTGTAAAACTTACAGTGCAAGTGAGGTCATCAAAAGCTGAGAATACAGTGTCGCTGTCATTTAGATACTTTTTAATATCATCGGCAGTCATTAATGTCTGAAAAAGTAACATTTTATCATGCCCTAATGCCGAAATCCTCAGAAAAACTCACCGAGCTGAACAAGCTCTTGCCGTCAATTTCGATGTCAAGATTTGAAAGTGAGAGGTTATGGATATTCCCAAAGGATTGATCAGCAGGATTTACTGCTGGCAAGGCAACCCCAGAGTTCACTGAAGCTGGTGTGTAGGGTGCAGATCCTGCAAAGAGAACTTTACAACATATTCCAAAAATAACGAAGATCTCTGACGACTGACCAGTGAGCGATGGAGCTTCGACGCTTCCATGCTGTTGAATCTGAGTTTGATGAGGGCTCGTGCTATGAAGAGGTTCTGATGGCAGAGAAGTTGCCGTTGGGACGACAACATCAGACGTCGGATTCTGAGGCGCATGTGGTGTCGATGGGGTTCCCGGTCCACCGACGAAACGAGCGCCAGCTGGCGAAGACACTGCTTTTGAAGGGCTGCAATGAGAGGGGTTGTTCTTGTGAAAATGAGATAATCTCGAAAAAAATCCGGGTTTGAATTACCTCTGACTGCCAGCAAATGGGCTCATCATAGAGGGAGCAACGGTTCCCATGGGAGCCGAGCCTGGTGGAGGTGGAAACGGTGACATCACCGACGCCGCAGGGACTGATGGAAATGGTTCGCTCTTGATTCTTTTGATAGGATGGGCGGGACCTGCAATAAGAGGGGCATTATTGTGATAGAAATCAGGAAATCCTAAAAAAAACTAATTGTGACACCCTACCGAAGATATGAAATATAAAATTTAATGTCAGTACTACTCAAAATAAGGTACAACATCCCATAATGGAGGATTCATTTACACATTTTTTGCAGATTATCACAGCCTTGTGTGAA